CACACTATCGAAATGTTACTAAAAATGGAAACATGAAACATTAAAAGCGCCTCCATTAAAAAACAAAAATAATGTAGTCCTGATCTAATTTATGTGACATAAACATAATTTTAGCAAGAAAAACTCGTAATAAATGTATTATCAATATTAATAAAAGTCTATCTATCTGTATACTGATTTTCAAATTACAATTTATCTTAATAGTCATCTTGTAGGAGATGTAAACGCCTACAACTATGTAATTTAAATATCACAATATTATGCCAACATCGCTTGTTTAAAATCTAATAAAACTGAACGAAAGATAACGAATTTATTAAGCCTCTAACGATATCTAGCGGGGAGTAGTAAAACTAACATTTGTTAATGTTTCATTAAAATGACATACACTAAAACTTATCTCTTTTTAATCTTATTGTGTTTTAGTTAAAATATTTTTATTGTATTCGAAATTGTTTTATTTGAGATACTAAAAACAATAGCAATTAAATTGTGGTTGAGTTTTAATCTGCTTACGATCTGCATTGTTCTAGTAACGCCATCTATTAGCGAATCGCACGAAATAACAAAAGAGATTGTGATCAAAAAGTTTTGTTTATTTACGTAATGTTATTTATTTAGTGGCATAATAAGTAAGTTTGAATTATCCATTGTTTTATTGTGACTGTGATGGCCATTTACGAGCACGAAATTATGAATATCTAATAAGTTTGGCGCCATAATAAACCCGCTTCTATTTGTTTGTCATACAATTTGGAACACGCGCGGTTGTTTCAACAGGTACCTGCTTACTTATTTTTAAGCTAAAATTCTAGACTTTTTATACGATCCTCATTAAAATGCGGTTTGAGTACCGAAAATAAAATGAACTGAATGGCGTAGCTATGGCACATTGCCAGTATTTGTCATTTCCATAGCAGAATGTTATGTAAATGTTGATCCCTTACCCAGTACAATTATTACTCTCACAGAGGTCAAGTTAAACTGGATACTACACAAACACTAAGGTCAACGACATTCAGAAAAATATTCGCTTATACGGTATTGCCATTATGAAATTTACGCTCCAATTTCGCGGTATTAAATTGCCTTTTAAAAAACAACGAAATAAAATTGTTTTGTTTGTATTTTTTTTTTTATTCTGGCAAGAATTTAACTTTAACGAACCTCTTTTGAAGTAATGAAGTTTTAATTTTTTATTTTTATGCTACTGTTACTTATATAAACTTATTTTCATGGTCTCATCTCTCTCATCAGACATAGGCGTTATTTTCACCACACGACTGACTAAGGAAAGTCATTATTCCCTAATGATTTTCCTTAGTCAGAATCTTACTGACTAAGAAAAACCACTCCGTTCCACCCGTTAATACGACAATACGTCAAATAAAATACTATTTTTGAATTTTGAAAATCGATCGTTTTCTATGTATATTATTTATGTGCGGGATTATCTGTGGTTTAATCATAATATCATACTTTTGCGTAAAAATACGAGTCATTATTCTTGAACATATTAAATAAAATAAATTTTTTTTTGCTTTTTAAATAAAGAACACCTTTAGGAGTTATCTTTTATCTAATTAAATCTAGATTCTAAGTAAAATACAAACTAAACTTACCTATTCAACCAGATCTGTATAAACAAAATAATAATCTGTCACAGTATACCAAGAAATACACACACAAGTAACACATTTCTAAGACATCAAAAGACACATTAGATAGGAAATTCCTATGGCAACATTGAATAAAGACAATAGCGGGCCAACGTGTGGTCCTTTCATACTGACATGGAAATATGATACTTATGGGAAAATTAAGATGGTACGGTGGGCAGGAAGTGTATAACTTGTTTACTACTTACGTTACTGATTATAATAACTTTGTATAAATGGTTGTAAATACCTTTATTTACGTTGATAATAACATTTCAGTATCGTCTCGTCTACCCTTCTATATTAATACATATTATAAAGATGTAAATTTTGTAGTTTGTATGTAGGGGGTAATCTTTGGAACCGCTAGTCGGATTTCCAAAATTCTTTCATTCTAAGATAGCTACAATATTCCTGGGTAGGTACTACAGGTTGTAAAACATCACGCTATGGTCAAATGGAGCCGAGCTAGTTATCTGAATAATTGGCTTACTTATCATTAGTGCCCGGGACGATTATGGGATGATCTTTAACTAAAGAGACACTTCTTAAAAATGAGTATGATCACGCATACTTTTAAAGGTTTGGCTGGTTTACAATAATTAAGCGATACAAGGTTAGGTCTGGTTAGCGCCTACTAGAATTGTAATAGCGATGTGATGAAATGTGTTTATATGCTATGTTCAAAAGTGCCTGTAAAGGTCTAATTGGAATAAATGATTTTGACTTTTGACTTTTATGAATAATTTTACATATTTGTTTGTTTTTTAGTTTATCATTTACACGTATAGTTATATTACATGTAATATTTATGTCACAAACGTAAATATATCTTCGTTATAAACGCTTTATATTCATTCCACAAAACCTTAAAGCATTATTCAACATCTCAGCCATTTCTACAAAAGTATAAAAACGTAATCATATGATTTGTAGGACTTGAAGTCACAATACTCGCGATTTGTATTATGTTTGCGTTAGATCCAAGGAATCTCGTTTTATATGCATCGTGCAGAAATTCTAAAGGAATTGGCAAGCTCTTGTACGGTATTCCAAGAACGATTTTATAGAATGCGCTCTTTCGTCTTTCATGCATAGGTTCATGCAGTATTGAATAGTTAGATAAGTATTATTATTATTAAAAGATTCACGTCTTAAACAAATCATAGGTAAAATATGTTTTATAGTAAAAAAACAACATGTAATGATACCATCCCTGCTTTTCTTAGCTTCACTGATATACCGTCTGATGGACTATATTATATTATATGTCTCTTATTAATATAAATAATTTACTAGCGATTAAATTTATCCAATATTTAGTGGATGTTATTTTATAAATGCACCCTTCCTCTTCAATAATTTTGTCTATTAAATCTGTCTATTAAAGACAACCGCATCATAATTGGTTGCGTAGTTTTGAAGATCAAAGCGTACATAGGCATATAGGTACAGAAAAAGCGACTTTGTTTTATACTATGCACATTATACTTTTCTTTGTACCTACCATACTATTATTAACATCTAAAGTTTTACTGGCAAAAATGCCTAAAACAGACCACTCCTCTACAATTTTAAAAGAATAAAAAGTAACTTTAATTCTTAAATTGAAATTACAATTTGCCTAGTTAGCGTACGTAGATTGAAACTTCTTAGGAAGAAATAACAACGTCCTGTATATATGCACAGGCTGTTTGATTTTTATTTCACTTTAAACGAAAGATATTTGGCAAAGAATGGAGTCTTGTTTGGTGTTTTTTCTTTTATTTAAGCTTTGAGTCGCAAGCCAAGTTAAATAAAATAAAAGAAAATTTTGTTTCATTCAAGCTATATTTGCCCATATTATGTGTGTGCAACAATATTTACAATTACATATTATTATACGTTTATAGGAAATAGATTTGTCTGTTTTGTAAGTTATGCTGTATGCTTGACTATATCTCAAATCAGTATTTATGCATTAAGCTTACTTACACAATTTGCAACAAGACTGTGAGTGAGAGAGTCATGGTTCGGTACGAATGGGTCAGCTCGGCCGGTGATACCGAGTTCTCACAAAATACCGGCGTTACCTAAACAACCACAGCGTTGTGTTACGATATGGGTGTGGTCACCACAAATCTCCAAAACTCTAATCCCCAGAGGGTTGCCAACTTACTCGTAACTCCTTCGTTGTTGCGAATGTATATGGGTGGTCCGAATTGCTTACCATCAGGTAATCCGTCTGCTAGTTCGCCAGTTTATCACATAAAAAACATAACATAAGAGATACTGGTATGGAAATTTGGCTGATTTGATGAAATTTAAGGCATGGCGTGCGAAAAGATCTGACGGATTACCTGATGGTAAGCAATCAGAACAGACGCTTTAAAATTAAAACATAATCAATTAACTACGATCATAAGATAATATCATTATCTAAAATGAAAAATTCATAGATGAACTAATACTTAACTTGAGTACCTAATACTTATTATTAATCCCAGTTTTAGCCTCGAGCTAAAACAAATATTATTTGAAGAAAACCAGCAAAGATATTATTATAACAGATAGAATCTTTTTATTTACACTGTTGTAATTAAAATCTTAACGAGCAGGGTTGTCAGTTATTAAAACTTTAATTAATTATTTCATGTCTTTGTAGTTTTAGGTCTTGTCTTAATATTTAATGCCTAGGTTGTCTAGGTACCGGGGTTTTAGGAGCTACTTCGTTTTCTATCTTGAAAATCTTTTCAATAGTTTTTCTTTTTTTTAATGGTTGCCAAAATGGATAATCAGTTCAAGTCCTCTAACTTACTGCAAAAAAGGGAGTTATTCCTTTTTTTTCGTTTCGTTTCGTTATTTAGTTCGGCAAACGAGCAGACGGATTACCTGATGGACACCCGCAACGGAGGAGTTACGAGTGCGTTGCCGACCTTTTAAGGATTAGGGATTTGGAGACTCAAGGGTTGAGGAGGGATTGGGGGCGTGGAAGGATTGGGCCTCCGGTAACCTCATTAACACGACGAAACACAACGCTGTGTTTCGTCCTTAAGTTTTTTTATTCAAATAGTAAAACGCGCAACGTGTTTATTTACATAAAAATAAATTGGAGCTCTGCCTTATGATGCAGCAATCATAACTATACTACCTATACTACTGTACTATACTAACTGTAGAAAATATTTCTTCTTCATGAAAACAAAATAAGACCGTCTACCGAAAGCGTAGGTATTCGTGCGCGCGCGCACATCCCATCGACAATTTTTCGACGGAATATCATTGAGATTCACAGAAATACCTTTGACCTCCACAAAAGCTTAATAGGCAAATACTGATTTTACGACATATCTGTTCTTCTAGGCCACCACAGCACCACGGCGCGGCTCTGCTGGCCGGGGTTGGGGGAGGGGGTGCCGTCCCCTCGTACGCACCCCCTGGCAGAGCATTCTTCACCCCCCCTCTGCCGCCTGAGTACAGAAACCCCTTCGCTGATAAGCCAACACTTCGAGGTAAGTGGTGGATCTGTATTTAAAGTTTTCTTATGAAAAGGTTATTTATTATGGAGGTTATTTAATAGCCTTTTGTTGTGGACTTCCTCATGGTCCCGCAGGTTAAGTCACCTGTTTCTCATACATAAGGTTGAGTGAGTAGAGGTCCGAAACCTGACAAGTACTAATGTGACTTTTTTTTGAGTTGTATACCTATATTTACTTTCTATGAATATTAAGACACCACTGACATACGGTGAAGGAAAACATCGTGAGGAAACCTGGATTTATAATTTCTAATTATAAGTTTGAAATCGCCAATCCGCCTTAATAATTAAGCTCAAAACCTTCTCCCTGTGAGAAGAGGCATTTGTTCAATAGTAGGCACTTATATGCTAATGATGATAATTAATGATTTATTACATAAAGTGAGAAGTGAAAATGTAATAATTATAATATTTTATATTATATTTACAAAAACCGCCTATGTACTTACATATATGTATATGGGGCCACGCCAATCTCAGATATCTTTATTAAATTAGAATAATTAGGATACCTACTCAAACAATCACTATACAAACCTTCCTAGTTAATCTATAGGTATATCTATCTAACCTACGATGTTATTGATCTTTACGCCAAGTTCCTCTTCACACAAACAGTTCCAAGAATCTACATCGCTCTTCAAATTTACTATAATAATCCAAATATATCCTAATTGATCTAGATATTTCCTTATTTATTATGCTTAACTAGCTAATCTCACGCGGTTTCACTCGCTGCTCAGTTTCTACATATCGTAACGTGATGTTTTATAGCCTAAAGCCTTCCTCGATAAATGGACTGACGAACAAAAAAAGAATTATTTAATTCGAACCCGTAGTTTCGGAGATTAGCGCGTTCAAACAAACAAATTCTTCAGTTTTATAATATTAAAAGTATTGATTAAATTTTCTATTCTGTTTGCAGGCACGAACACAGATGGAAACAATTATCTCAACAGGCGGCCTATACCCCCACCATCTTTGGGTCCAGGACACGACAGAATACCCATCAGACCTCCTGGACAGGTAATGAAACCGATTTTTCAATAGTAACTATCTTGAGTCACACTAAATTTATTAAAAACTATCGCAGCGTGATATTTTATAGCCTATAGCACTTGGGAACATTGTTGCTATCTATCAGCGAAAGTATTTCGGCAATCCGACCAGCGGTTCCAAAGTTTACCCCCTACATACAAACTTACTAATTTTACCTTTTCCAAGAGAACTACAAATTGGTAGCCAACTCATTTGGATGTGGCGCGCTTTCATTAACGCACCCACAACACAGGAGAAAATGTTATCATGAATAGGCTTTGAATTGTTTTCAAATGTTATTTAAATAAATTTTGAGATTTTTCGAAACCAAAATATATTAATATGTACCTCATAGGTATCAAAATAAATTGACACTACTGCTCGCCCAGCGGAATTGCTCTTGCATTCATTAGGCCAACGAGAAAATCTATAAATGTGGTTGAGCCACGAATCTGGATCAGTAAGCATTCTCGATTTCTCATTACTGCTATTGTTCAATCAAAATCTACTTCTCAATTAATTAACGAAACGTTAACGTAAACGCAACGTGTTCATTGTGGTTACGGGTTACGTAATGACTTAAAGGTTGCATTTGACGTTTTTTTGAATATGTATAAAAAAGTTTGGGAGTCACTACCTACTTTCAAGAAGTTCCAAACAAGAACTTCCCTGCTCTTAAAAAGTTGAAACTAGTTTTAGCTAATAATTATTTTTCTAAAATTTCAGGAAACTTCATCGCCCCAGGTGCCAGCGCCACCACCAGCACCGCCGCTGCCACCGGCGGGTATCGAACCCCAGAAGAAAAAGCCTCTCAATACGCCTAGCCATAAGGTAAGACACACAGAAAACTCTGTTTTTTATTTATTTTTTCTCGAAACTGTCATTAACATTCTTCTATTTCAAATACTGCACGGTTTGTGAGGTGGCTGGGCGACTGGCTGCCATGCAATGTGTCGCGGGTTCGATTCCCGCAGGGGACAACACTTTGTGTGATCCACAAATTGTTGTTTCGAGTCTGGGTGTCATGTGTATGTGAGATTGTATGTTTGTAAACGCACCCACAACACAGGAGAATATCCTAAAGTGGGGCAAGTTTTTTTAAAAGAAAAATACTATTTTGTGCTTGCTTTCTGCCCAACCATTGGTTAATCTTTGCATCACCCAAAGGACTAGTAGAGAATGCCTTAAGTCCACCAAACGTAGGGTATTTTTGAGCATAGCGTTTAAATAAACCGTTTTAACAAATTCTAATAGACAATATCAATCCCCCTTTCAAAAATGTTTTTTCTTAACATCGCACTAATCATACCTTTCTTTTTTTCCAGCCGGACGAACTAGACAGCGACATAAAACAGCCGGGAACCGACCAAGCGAATTTCACCGACTTCGTGCCGAACTCCTTGAACATCCCGACCATATCAAGAATACTGTCAGGATCTAATGGACGCAAAGAAGATATACCTGACGTTCTTCTACGAACGGTCACTGCAAAACCCCAACACAATCAAGAAAAGACCTCCAAAAGTGATATCTACGTCACTAAGGAAGCTGGAGTCACACTAAGCGACTCCAGTAGGGATTCTTCAACTGAAGGATCAGTTTTAGCAGTCCTAGACCCTGAAATGAACAATTTAGATAGACCTTTAATTGTAGACCAAAATGGAGAAACTAATACGAGAAGGAATCTCCAATATGCTACCAACAAACAGACAGATAGGAACGAAACTAGGAAGGATGAGTATACCCCAGCCACTACTATAGGTTTCGAGCTAAAAGACCCTGAAATGTCTACCGAAAGGTATCATAATCTAGCGAATGTAAATTCTGATAAAAAGATCTTGAAACAAGATTCAAAGAACTCAGGACCTGTTCAAAGACCAGGGGCAGCTTGGCCGTTCGCGTGGAACCTCCACATATACCTCGCGACTGTCATGTTTACTATCCTAGCAGTCTACTCCATTTTCAAAATCGTCTGCTACAACAAGTACACTCATTTGTTCACCCAGTATTACTTCATCATCTTACATTTGATCTTGGTCCTCGTCTGTCTTCTCAGAATCTTCTACATGTGCTACGATCCGTACAACATAAACAATTCCCTCCCTAAATTCATAAGTGAAATCCTCCTCCACATCCCAGAAATATTCCTTAGCATAGCATTCGCTTGTATCATACTCTTCCTCCTCACAAATAGCATTAATTTTAAGAATACCTGCTGTTCATTCCTCCTTCGTCCTAGAATTATTATAATAGGCGGCAGTTTGCACATACTGTCCTGTTTAATGTTGCATATCTTTGAGAGTAATAATACAATTAATAGAAGTACGCACGGTGGCGAAAAGAGGGTATTAGGTCTTACTTGTCAAATAATATTTATAATAGCATGCCTTACTTTAGGTCTTTGCTACCTATATGTATATAAAATGCTCAAAACTGTTCTTCAGAAAAAGAGTCACACTTATATAAATGGTTTCCAAAACCTGCAGCATGCCATCCAGATAAAATTGGCGACGGCATTACTGTTTATTCTGATGGCAGGTCTGCAGATTTTTGGCATCTTTGGCATCAACCAACATAACATGACCAAGTTCGACTGGCTTCAATGGGGCTACCAGTTCTCTCTGAGGCTTCTAGAAGTCAGTATAGTTGCTCTTATCTCCTGGGTAATCAGTCTGAAAGTTGGAATAGCTCTTCAACACGAAAAGGCCGATGGTCACAAAATATCTGGCCTTGGTCTTTTCGCTTGTGGGGCTGGTTCCAGCAACGAACAGTTCGAATCAGACTATCCAGCGATATGCAACACGAACACCAATCTTCATACTTATACGATGAGGACTGGTAAACCCATATATGAGACGACTGGCCATCATCCAGCTATGCAAGACCCTTGCTGCGGGCCAGTGTTAGACCACCAGAGGTTCCAACTCAACACTCTCACTGGCAACTGCGACAATAATTCTGGAACTGAGAATTATTCTGGACACAGTTCCATAGCGAATGCTGGTCACAGTAGTTCCACGGAATCCAGTAACGCGACATCCAGTCAGGGTGTTACTAACCACCTGATCAAACACCATCCCAACATGGCAGGGTATAACGGCATTGAGTCCGCTTCGGACGATCATTACTCGAACTGTGACCCTGCCATACAGTCCCTTCAAGGTGACGATCCCTTAGACCATGAATACAATGTCATCCAATATGGAAGCAACAGTGACTTCATTAGGGATATCAAGAACCAAAATTACAATGCAGGTTCTAACCGCAGTTCGCATAACTTCAAACACATGTCGTATGACAGGGTCTCTTCAAGGACCAATAGTAATCCTCGAAAAAAGCATCGAGCGAAGAACAAGAATGTCCAGAATTGTATGACGATGGGGTATGACTCCTCAATGGGGCACCACTACCATCAGCCACATTCGCCCGATGAATATGGCAACTATAACACGGAAAATGCCTCATACCACGCTTCTGGCATCCAGACTTTGAACCCCAATAGGAGTTACAGTAATGATCCTTGCCAACAGATCAGGAGTTCACAGCGCAGAAATTCGCCCTCGACCTCCATGGTCAACTCCAGCGGGAGTCAGAAGCGTGGTAAAGGCAACGGGTTTCCAGATAGGCCGAAGTCTACGGACTTGTACGGGTTCTCAGAGGACCCTAATGAGAGGGGATATCCTTGCGCGCTAGGAGGGACTCCTCAACCAGCTCCTAGGAACTGCAGTTACGAGGCCTCGTACTCCCAACCGCAGGATGAAATCCCAGCGGAGGCAGAGGGGAACAGTATGCTAGTTGCTCAAGACGGCTTCCTGAGAATCCGCTCCATGAAGGACTCGTCTCCGAACCCTCAGCCTTCGCATACCTGATTTACCATAAATCTGTCGTATACGACAGAACTAAGTTTTTGATAAAATATTTTCTGTCTGGCTGTGCTGTCAAGTTTGTATTGATATTCTCCAGCCAGTGTATACTTAGGTATGATGCAATGATGATGTCTCATCAGAATAGATGAAAATCTTCAATGCAAAGAATTAAATGATAAAATATGCCTTAAAGGAGGCGAAATAAAGCATTTTAAAGCTATTTTATTTAAGTAACTTAATTATACTTACAAGTGTACAGTTCATACTGATTTCTTTTTTAATTTCTTGACTTAAATACGGCCTCTATGCGAAGAGTATTACGTAAAGATATACGTATCGTTAAGAAAATCATTTTTACGCCATGACCCATTTGACGTCGAATCAAAATCATGTAAAATTGTAAATGTTAGATATAAAATGACCTAATTTAAGTATAATATTCGTAACGGCCTTCTGTAAATAGCTTATTTTTTAGTTCGAATACGGTCTCTGTAAAATATATTTTATAACATTTTCATTTCAAAACCAGCCTGGCTATCATTCAAGAAACAAAAAGTTGCATAATTTCGCAGGGTTTTAGCCAAAATCTGCAGTTTTTCGGTTTGCAAATCATCAAAATTCTAATATAATTTCTCACTTAGATTATAAGACACAGAATACATGATAACAATATCCCTTATCAGTTTGTTTAGTAATACTTAAATAAAGATTTTAATGTATGTGATATCAATATAAAACATTTTATTTGAAACAATCTGTCCATATTTAATGTTAAGATATTATCAAAATAATTCTAAGTAACAAGTGTACTACAACATTTTTATAAATGCTGGTCACATTTTTTCATTCAGGGATAATTTTAATAAAATCACCGTCAATTGCGTCTCCAGAATCATACTTATTTATTTAGAACACATGACTTGTTTTCGTATCTTTTCGAGGCTGCTCGATCAGTTTCAAGGACATGATTATAAACCCCGATATTGCCAAGAAAGCAGTCGAGCGTTCTCGAAAAGAAATGTGGTATGTTCTGGTTAATTAAACACGGTATTATTAAAATTATCTTCAATATCTATGTAACTGAGTTAAAAACATATACCTACATACATATTTCTGTGACCATATGGAAATTATTTATGTCAGTTAAATTTCTGATCTAATTGTTATAATTATATCTTCATCATATCCATTGAATATATCAAGCACTATTAGATTGAATGATTTCGTATTATTTGGCCAATTACTTATAAGAACATATTAAAATCTTAATGTTCTAAATGTTACCATATTATTAGATTATTTTCTCAAATAACTATAATATGGCTTTTGGTTATATATCTAAACAATACTCTACAGTTTGACTAGTCATCTAAAGAAACGAGAAAGGAGCTGGTTAAACAGTAAAATACAAAAAATGCTTTGAAGATTTTGCTAGCACTTTACTTTGGTTAAGTTTCCTAAGTGGAACATTTAAGACATTTCTTCTTCATCATCATAAGAGTTACAATAGCACATTTGATATTTTACTGTTTAATCTTTCCTACAGTGACTAAACATCTGCCATTTTAAATATAGGGAACTCATTTTTTGTATCTGTTAACACAATAAAATCATAAAAAATATCTATTTAGATGTGTTGAAATGTACAACATAAAATAATGTTGATTAATAATCTGGCAATCGAGACAGTAATATTGAAAAATTAATAATAATTTTTAATTTTTACGTGAGGCAACTATTTTGACATTTAAATTTTTTAATATTACTGTCTTGCCAATATTAATAAATAGTTAAAAATAATGAATGTTGCCACTACAATAGATAGATAAAAATAAATGTATAAATTAGACAGAAAAAAAACTAAAGAAGTATTTATTGATAAATAAATAAAAAACTGTACCATCTTACTGGAATAATGTTATTTTGAAAATGGAAATGAATGAATGATAATGTTGCATTAGTAAAAAAAATGCTCATTTAATTAAATCCTATGTAAATAAATGTAACGTTAAGAACTTAAGTGTGGTCTAATATTCGTGACCATGCACGCCACTTTTTAATTTTATTTTTTTACTTCTAAGTGTATATACATATATTGGGTACTTTGGTACTCCAATGGAAATAACATTCAATTCGTTGTAAATTATAGCGTTTTTTTTATATTCCCAAGACTGTACGTATTAATCATCTAATATGTAAAAATAAATTCGAAAAACGGTATTGAATACGTCGTTTCATTTTTTACCCCTTTTTCTTAGAATTTAACCAGTAAAAGAGGACATTGTAACACAAACATACTTTGTGAATCTATAGAAGAAGCCCTGTCCGATCTCTTCTTGAATCACTCTGGTGCAATACGACCTGTTCCTAAAATTATACTGTACGCAGGTTCAACTACACATGGATATAAATTTAAGAAACATGATCACACCCAAGTTATAAAAGGTCTCTTACATTGTGTCGCGTGGATCCGCTCTCCAGGATACCACGGGTTAATAATGGATGATTCCCTATTTGCTAGACTAGTATACAAGTCGCCTTTTAAAGAGATCGTGCGACTATCATGGTAGGTCTAATAACGATTATCGCCCCAGCTGACACTCCAGACGTCAGGGATCGGAGCGTAGGCCGCCTCAAAGAGCCCATAGACCACCACACATAGAGCCCAATAGGACCATGTTCAGGGTTGTGGGGCAAGTATTAAGGTACTGCAACATCGGCGTAGAGCAGGAGATGGAACAGGGGGTTTTCGTTTGTAAGACCCTGACACTCCTTCTCGCCTTATCCCCTGCGTGAGAGAAATCATTGGTATTTTTTTCTTCAAGTTAAGTTCTTTATGGAATAGCGACAAACGAGTAGGACCATCCATGGAAGTAATACTTTAAGAGCTACCTTTTGAGGAGTAGGGATTTGAAAGATTGAGGACCCACTTACACCAAGAAATACAACGTAAGCGTTATTTCACGTCCGTTTTCTGCGAGATCATGGTATCACTTCGGTTGTATTTCCTTCCTTTAGTAGGTATTTCTTCAGATGGTTCTCTAGGCATATAAAAAAGGGATCTATATGGGGGCCTCATACACTTAGCAATTTGTTTTTTCGTATTGGCCAGGCACTTGGCCCCTTATCACCTGGTCGTAAGCGATGATGCAACTTACGATGGAGCACGCCTACCCATAAGCAACCTATTCACTTGGGCCTTAAAGACAACCTGGTTATAAGTACCTACTCTTCAGGAAACATAGACTCCGGCAAAGAATTCTACTTCTTAGCGGTTCTGATCATAATCGCGTGCGTGTGTGAATCATCCAGACTATAGATATACAGATAGTCTGGTGGTACGATGGTGGAGATAATTATGGGGAATCAAGGTGTGTATCTCCCCCGAACATTATCCAAAATGTATCCGATAAAAAACTGAAAGGCTCGCAACTTTGCGCCTGTGTTCAAACTTTGAAGTTGCGCTTCTTCTTTTTACAAACAACAAATATAATAAATATTTGTTTAGGTACGTTCTCCACGGACTCGTGGTCATACAATTGACATTAAACATTAGATATTATTCTAGTAAATAAATATCTATTTAAATAATACCCAATTTAACATAGTGATGTAAAGAATGTTGAATTTTTCACATTCGCGAATGCGAATGCGAATACGAATATTTATCTTCAACATTCGCGAATGCGAATGCGAATGCGAATATTTTAAAATTTCAAATAAAGCGCGCGTGAAGTGTTTGATAGCGTTGACGCTTCGTGTCGGCCACGCTTAAATTGAACATAGTCGAGCGGGCATTGGTTAATTTTAAAGTTTATTTAAAAATATTAAATAATATATGTTTTTTAAGTTTATATATGAATGAATATCATTATAAATATATTTAATTCCTCGGATATATTTATAAAGTGGAATGTAAAAATATACATTTAAAGTCAAAGGTTATAAATACTTAATACATAAAGTAAAAAATAGTTTATTTGTGACAGACAATTAAACTATTTTTTATTTTAAGTTTGTTAATTTTGTTACAAGTGTTATAGTTTAGTTATTTGGTATATAGAAATTGTATACTTTATTTAAAAATAGTAGTAAAGTAATAATGTGTGTAATACTAAATGCATGCAAACCTTACATAGTACAACTAACTAACAAGGCTGATTAATGTTAGATTTGATCAGATCTCATTAGGTTATTTTCCTATAAATCGAGATTTTTTTAGGATGTAGAAGTATGATTTAATAAAAATAACTAAGTGTGATCTATTTCATGTTATCTATGTATTATTATTTCATATACATTTATAATATTTTCCTTTTTGATTTTGAAAAACATTCGCTAAATATTCGCATAATTTTTGCGAATGCGATTGCGAATGCGAATATTGAAAAATATGCGGATATTCGCGAATGCGAATGCGAATGAGAATATTCGTTACATCACTAATTTAACATACTGCAACTAATGACAAGTAGACAACCTACCTATATAGAAACTTCAAGCTACATTTACAATCTACAAACTTTTTTTTTTTGTCAGGGTAAAATCATCCAATGACTTCTCCCGCCCCGGGCCGGGCGGGAGGGAGTGTCAGACTCTTACTGACTAAAAACCCCCCGTTCCTTTTCCTGCTCTGGGCCGAGATCGCGGTGCCTCATTGCGCTTACCCCGCAACCCCAGCTGAACATCAGCCCTATTGGGCCCCGTCTGTGGTGGTCTATTGGCTCCTTGAGGCGCGCGCGGAAGCGGAAGCGCGGCTGGTTCTGGTCGGACGGCGAGCTACCCTTACTCGCCGTCCGCAGACCCGCGCTTACGGTGGCCGGAGATCATCTCTCGATCCCCGACGGACGCCCGGAATGTCGCCTTCTGCTGCGGCAGAAGGAGGCGATAGCTTCCCAGTTCCTCTCATGGCCTCGATTAAGGCCGGGCGCTGCTATGCTCCAATATAATGCTCCAGCATACGATGGCGGCCTCTCGCGCCGAGTGCCGTGTCCTCTAGGTGGTCCTCACAATGACGACACTCGGGCGTTTCCTCCCGCTGGATCCGAAACAGGAACCTACCGAAGCTGCCGTGCCCGGTAAGCACATGCGTCAGGCGGAAGGTGAGGACGCCGGGGCGTTGGGTGAGCCGACCTGCCCCAGCTATCAGCCATCGTTCCAATCAACCATTTTGTAAGCAGAACAACCTAGCGCTGCCGACTATAGGACACTTTTGTACGCAAGACGACTTGACAATGACCTGACTCCAGCAGAGGCTACAACATGTCCTAAAGTTAATTGGTTAAGTAAATTGAAAAAACTAATTCTAACTTCATTACCTACGTTATTAACTTTTTGACCAATGAAATCGTGGCAAACACGCCACAGACTACAGCCCCCATTTTTTTTGAATAAAGATAATGAAATAAGTATACGTACCTACTAAATATTTTTTCTGTGTTTTTTACCCTTACACAGAACTGGGATAACTATAGCAACTAAGTGGGCCTAGGTGTCCTACAAAAAGTTTCTTCTTGTCCGAGATGCGTAGGTATTTCAGAATGATTTATTTAGCTTTTTTGGCGCTATTTATAACTGTATTTACATTATGTAAATTTATAATTAAGTAAGTATATAAATATCGTCGACATTTCGCCTGGAGTCATCGTCGAGTGCAGACTGAATGAAGATTGAAGACGCGGCAACGCTCGCAATTACAAACCGCTTCTTTCGAAGTGATTACGCTTGGTGTGATAACGCCGAGGCCGAAATGATTGTTGTTTCTGGCAGAGTCAAAACGTAACCTGTCTTATTCAAGACAATTGTTATCTTGTTTCTTGATAACAAAAAGTCAATGACGTTGGTAATTGTAAAAGGTATGGTATGGTAACTGGTGTTGTGGTATGGTAAGCTATTCGGTGGTATCGGGAAGGTATATGGTACATGGTTCGGAATATGGTACTGGTAGGGATGTAGTCATGCGGTGCGGCTACAATCTAAATCCGTAAATTTTACCACCATCACCACCAGGGAATCCTCGAGGGGGAGTTTTAAACTTCAACACTCCCCCTATCGATCGAACGGACTGATACAAATGCAGTTGCAATAAAAGAAGCCATAGGTACCACGACTTATCGAAGTTCCTTTCAATGCCCTCGATGTGTTGTTATCCTATATGACGGCTTCTGCAGCATCGAGTTTATCATTCAGTATTAACTCGTTACCCTGCAAGTAAGTTTGTAGGATGGCAACGTAGCCCGCTCTCTTGTCTCTCCTGCTGCGACAAACTCGAGAAAAGCGTTTATGACATGACCCCTGGGAGCGGCGGCATGTCGAAGCCTCGGCAGACAAACATGACCCATAGATGCTGTTTTTGGTGGTGACTTGGAACGAGAACATTATTAAGCTTGTATTTGAGTGTACTTTTACTGAATATAACGTAATTGAGCAATAAGCCGATGGTATTACCTACATTCTGCTTCGTGACTTTCCTTCTCCTTTTCCATTTTTCGCGGTTTTTCTTGCAGAGCGCCGTCTTCTTCAACGAAACTTAAATGCTCCGACTCACAACCCATACATGGCATGCCCTAAACTGGTTGTTTGGAGAATGTACCTACTATTTACGAACGTACTATGACTATGAGACTCTTGCCGACTAAAAATCCCCTGTTTATTCTCCTACTCCGAGGCTTGTTTTGTGAGGAGAAAATCATCAAATGACTTTTCTCGCCTAATGTATGGCAAGAGGGAGTGTCATACTCTTACTGACTAAAAACCCTCGATTTCTTCTCCTGCTCCAGGCCGAAGCCAATTAAGTAATTAAGCCAATTAAGGCGGATAAGGGTAAAACGGCTGCCTGCGCCTTGGATGACTCGGGGAGTTAAAATGGCTATGCGACGTAGGGACCGAGCTTTCCGAAAACACAGGAGGGATCGCACCGATGAAAGCTGGGCAGCTTTTAAGCTAGCAAGAAATCGCTGTAACCAGATGGTGCGTAACGCTAAACGCCGCCATGTTCTCGAAAACATCTCTTCTGCTTCTTCAGCCGATATCTGGAAATTTCTTGGGACTCTAGGTATCGGCAAGACGCATTATTTAGAATTACCCAGCTCTATATGCCTAGACGATCTTAATCACCATTTCTCCACAGTGCCTACCGTAGATCGTCTAGTCAAACACGACACCCTGAGGTTTATCTCTGGTCTCGCGCGTCCCAACGTTACTACTCCTTTCCGCTTCGTCCCGGTGGATTCGACGGAGATTCGTAGGATTATCCTTTCAGTAAAGTCCAAAGCGGTAGGATGTGATAACATTTCTCGTTATATGATTGTGACTGTTCTGGATCACCTCCTGCCGGCTATAACCCATATTTGCAACTTTTCCCTGTATTCCGGATCTTTCCCATCCCTTTGGCGTAAAGCCTTTGTCCGTCCACTTCCGAAAGTCTCTTCTCCCACTCTTCAGTCAAGTCAAAAAGTCAAAATTATTTATTTCAATTAGACCCATACAGGCACTTTTGAACGTCAACACAACTTTAAAGATACAAAGTGTCAGTCTGTCGGTCAGTCCTCTTAGTGAAGCTATTCGCTCGTTCCAAAGTGTAGATTCCGATGGAGAAGAACGAGCAAGAAACTCCATGGTTACTCTTTTAAAATCAGTGTCACATAAACATTCTTTGATACATTATTTAGTTAGTTTGAAAATGTGAGAACAATGTAACGCGTGTATACAGAGAAACACAAAAAGAAAATAACCTTAAGGACAATAGACAGTCCGGAGCTGACCAGTCCCAATTGACGGCGCCCGTTCACGAGCATGACACGTACACCAGCATCGCCCAACTCAACCATAATATAGGGAATCGAGCGATCCAGTGACCGTGCCACCGCCAATGTGACCTTTGAGTGAGCATGACAACTCCAAGCTGACATAAGGACCGACATTCTGCTAGTCTAACTAATTTTAATAGGTTACAGGGCACTCACATTTACAAATTTATCAAGTTTAACAATAAAAATAGCATGGTTACAAATTTACAAAATCTAAGAACTTCCGTTCAAGCAAAGATCCACTGGAACATTATTTATATTCGTGTAGGTATATTATCCTGTGGAGCAGGACCAGCCCGTCTCCAAGCATCCTTATCCTCAATATAATCACTCAGTTTGTAATATGCTTTTTTACACAAAGTTTTCTTTACACATAATTTAAAATTTCTTTCATTTAATTGTTGTATTTCGCCTGGGATTTTGTTATAACACTTAACGCTGAATCCCATGAACGACTTGTGTACCTTTGCCAATCTAAATAATGGCTGACACAATCTATCTCTATGTCTAGTTTGGTAATTATGTCTGTCTGATACCTTATCAAATAATATTATCTTCCTAGTCAATTTCGTCCGATATCCATACTTCCTTTCCTGTCCAAGTTGCTTGAGGCCTGTGTCCACAAACAACTTTCTACTTTCATTTACAGGAATTCACTAGTCAGTCCATTCCAATCGGGCTTCAGACCGGGCCACAGCACTGTTTCCGCCCTCCTTAAAGTGACTGGCGATATTAGAGCTGGCCTTGAGGACACTAAAGCCACAGTCCTGGTTTTGGTAGACTTCTCGAATGCCTTCAATATGGTCAGTCACGATATCCTATTAGCCATCCTATCCCATCTTACGATCTCTGGCGAGTCACTGGAATGGTTCTCCTCTTATCTTCAGGAGCGCCAGCAGTCGGTCAAGCATGGTGATATGTCATCAGGTTGGCGCGAATTAAAATCTGGCGTTCCTCAAGGCGGCATACTATCACCTCTCTTGTTCTCCATTTTTATCAATCTTATCACTTCTGACCTTCGCTGTGCGTACCATCTGTATGCAGACGACTTGCAGCTATACTGTCAGGCTGGCTTAGACAGCTTGCCCAATGCCATCTCAAAACTAAACGATGATTTAACTACCATCAAGAACTGGTCTGTACGGTTTGGCATTGCGGTAAACCCGAACAAGTGCCAAGCTATTGTCATCGGTAGCTCTCGATCTCTATCTAGGGTTGACAGTGCATCTCTGCCAGCTGTCCTTTTCAACGGTGCGATCGTTCCTTTCAGCAGTGACGTTAAAGACCTAGGCTTACACATTGACAAGAATTTAAACTGGAATACACAAGTCACTAGCGTGTGCAAAAAAGTGACCGGTTCGCTGCGGGCCCTTTATCGCGTGAAAAACTTGCTTCCGTCCGTCACCAAGTCGATGCTTGTGCAGGCCTTGTTGTTCCCTATAATAGATTATGCTGATGTTTGTTACTATGACCTGAATGCAGATCTCCTCAATAAACTTGACCGACTTCTGAATAACTGCATTCGTTTCGTTTTCAACCTGCGCAAATATGATCATGTTTCTGCACATCGGTTGCAATTAAAGTGGTTGCCCATTCGCCAGCGCAGGGAGCAAAGGGCGCTTACCACTCTATTTTCCTTTCTCAACTCACCTTGCCTACCTACCTATCTGTCCCCTTATTTCCAATACACCTGCTCAAACCATAGTAAATATCTTCGCTCATCTAATAATCGTCTCCTCAACTGTCCAACTCATCACTCAAAATTTCTTCACTCCTCCTTTTTTGTTCAGGCTATTCTTCTGTGGAATGCGCTACCCCCCGATGTCAGGACTGTGACTAGTCGGCTGACATTCAAGCAGAGAGTTCGGGAGCTTCTTCTGAGGAGGGTTAGGGAGTCATCGTGATCACGACTACATTTATGTATATATATGTATTTATATGTGTAAGTATATTAAGTAGTATGTGTTTTATAATATATATAAGTATAGTTCTATGTACTTTATGTATGTTTATATAAACCTATGTTATACTATTCTATTTCGCTTGCTTCTTGCATCTACTACTGGACTCTCTGCATCACCCAAAGGTCGACTGGTAGAGAATGCTCAATGCATTAAGTCCGCCTTATGTACAAATAAATTGTGCATGAAGTGAATAAATAAATAAATAAATTAAGTCTGTTAATACTCTCATTTGCAAAACTGCAATAATTAGTGACGAGTCAACATCCTCCACTTCTCCCAACCGGTCTATGCCAATTTAAACAATTCATAGAAAACATTGAGATTGTTTTGGGTGTTCGCAACAGTTTTATACTACTAGGCCTCATATAGATTTTGCCCCGAGCCGCAGACGGACTTATTTGCCTTCTATTCCATAAAAAGACTTTGTCAGTAGGTGTGTATGGGATTAATAAAAACACATATTTAACATATGATCTATATTAACATCCTTACAAATCTTACAAAATGTATTCAGTCGAAACACATAATCGCTCATTTTTGAGCAGTCGTGTAAATTCATTGTAACCAGTACAATAGTCTAAATTACTTTAATATACATTAAAATATATTATTTATATTAAATTAAACATAATAATCAATAACACCATATACTTACCTAACAAACTTGTGTACATTATATAAAATTAACTATTACATATATTATACAAAATTACCTTAAAGTATATAAAGCAGAATTGGTATTACAAATTGATATTAAGTTTATAGGTAAAAAAATATTACCGATTTGTTAGCAAATTATACTCAACAGCGATAAAAATCTATATTCTGGGATTTGGTGATTAAAACTCGACTCTTTATATTCGATATCGATAGTCGTTTTTGCTATCTTGTACCTAATTTTGAAAAGTTTAATACAATCTTGTTCTGTTTTAAATAGGACCTATCCTGAGTCATACAAAATTTATTACAAATTTCGAAATGGTCACGTGATTAAATGAGAAAAGCTCTACAAGTTATAAGTACAGTCCGCTCCAAACTTTGCGACCGCCCTGAATATAGTCGCGAGTCCGAACTTGCACATTGTGCAGTCGAGTGGGCAATACGTAATCAACCAAACAATTTTCGTTTTCTAACATTTTTAATGGTTGATTGTATACTATAAATATTGGTTGATTACGTATTACCTACTCAACTGTACCATGCGCAAGTTCGGACTCGCGACTATATTCAGGGCGATCACAAACTTAGGCGAGAGCTGTAACATCGGGACTCTTATTCATAGTAACATTAAGATGAAACTAGAATATAGCAACTTGGCTCTATTTATTCTAGACATATTTTAAAAAAGTATGTTTGTAGGGTGTAGTGTCGGGTAGGGTAGGTACCTATAACAGGAGCAAAGCCACGGGTAAAAGCTAGTTACAAATAACTACAAAACATCAAGTTATTATCATAAGAACGGTTCAGTCAATATCTTCATAACTTCTCCGTAAGTCCTCGTACCGTCATTGATTTTAGAATAATTTTCTTTGACGTGCATTGAAAAATCTTGATAATTTGGCTTTTTGGCGCGAGTCGAAACGACGACGCCATCTTTGTTCTTTTTGTTTAGGACCAGCTCAAATCTTCCGTGGCAATAGCCGCAGCATTTTTTCGTTATATCTATAGATTTCGAGTGACGATTTACACTGAAAAATATACAATTCAAATTAGGTAATGTAATATGTAAATGGTAACCATTTACTTCAAGATGGTTCTTTAGTTTTGGTAAGTGAAGTAGTCTCTAGGTTTATAATTATAGGTCCGTGCCTGGTGACTGTTAATGCGAATGCTTTATATTATATTCGATTCATAACATGTCTGGCTCAAAGTGGATCTTTGCCTAATAGAGAATGAAAGGCTAGGTGATTAACCTTTCACAAATAAACTTTCTCGCCACCATTGAAAATTTCTTTTTAATCTTATCTGATGGTAAGCAATCTGCGCCGCCGACACCCCTTACTCGAAGTTACGAGTGCTTTTACCGGCCTTTTTTATGTAACAGGTCGGCAAATGAGCAGACAGATTACCTGATGGTAAGCAATCAGAGCCTCCCATGGACACCCGCAATGGAGGAGTTACAACTGCGTTGCCAACCTTTTAGGGATAAGGGATTTGGAGATTTAGGGAGTGGGGAAGGATTTGGCCTCCGGTAACCTCACTCACAAGGTGGTTGTTTTACGCTGGTTTTCTGTGAGGTCGTAGTATCACTCCGATCGAGCCGACCCATTCGTGACGAAGCATGGCTCTACAACACTTACAACTTTTGTGGATTAGTGTTACGGAGATGACGGAAATCGGCGTGAAATAGGTACATTTTTCTGTGAGGCCGCGGTATAACTCCAATGGAGCCAAAGCATGGCTATCCCACACTTTTTCTAATGAAGTCAGCATATAAAAACATATGTGTACATGGTATATCTTACCTGTATCCACACTTGGTACATTTGTACGAATACTTGTAATGTATTTGCATGTCATGACATCTCGATATCTCGCCTAGCTCTGGATACACGCTGAGAGCTCGCTTAGCCCTGAGAAATACAACATTATGTTAAAAAAATAAAGTAATCTCAATTATAGTTAAGAGTGTAGGAGACACAGGACGATTTATAATAAAATTTGCTTTTGCTTGCGACTCCGTTCGCGTTGAATAGTGACTTTCTGCAGATTTTTGGTATAAAAACTATCCTGTGTCCTTTCTCGAGTTCCAAACTATGTCTGTAGGTACTAAATTTCACAGAAATCGGTTCAGTAGTTTAGGCGTGAAGAAAAGACAGACAGGCAGACAGACTTACTTTCGCATTTATAATATTAGTTTGGAAGTTGGGATAGTTTGGATTATGAAGTCAAGAATCATGGAATCTTAAACTTAGATACAAGTAAACGTCGAACCTGTACACTATTACATCATCATCATCAGCCTATAAGTGCCCACTGCTGAGCAAAGGCCTCTTCTCATACGGAGAAGGTAAGAGCATTAATCACCACGCTTGCTCAATGCGGGTTGGCGATTTCAAACCTATAATTAGGAATTATAAGTCCAGGTTTCCTCATGATGTTTAACTTCACCGTATATCAGTGATGTCTAAATAATCATAGAAAGTACATATAACTCGGACAAAATCACATTGGTACTTGCCGGTACACTATTACATCATGGTCTAAAATGTTAATTACGAATATTTTAGAAAACATTTCGATTTAGAGAGAAACAGAAAGATATAGAGAATTTGTTTCCTTAAGAATTTAAACCACACGTCACTGCTCAGTTAAACTATTTTTCGAAAATGTTCGTGCGCTTAACCTGAAGATTTCGCTTCTTGCAAGACACATTTCAACATATTATCTTTATATATAAAAATGGATCGCAAAATGTGTTGGTAAGCGCATAACTCAAAAACGACTGGACCAATTTTGTCAAATCCTTTTGTTTTGTATTTATTATTGTCAGGAGAAGGTTTTTATGAAAGAAAATATTAGAAAAGTAGAGGGGAAAATTGGGGAAAAGGGACCCTTTCATTGTTAGCGAGATAGTTGGACACGTGCGAAGCAGGGGTGGGCCGCTAGTTAAAGTATATAATTTACTATGTTGAAATTTACGACTGCACGGTTGCGCAGTGGTTGGGCAACTGGCTGCTGTGCAACGTACCACGGGTTCGATTCTCGCACGGAGCAACACTTTGTGTGACTCTAATATTTGTATGTTTTTAAACGCACCCACGACACAGGAGAAAATTCTAATGTAGTTTTTTTATTAATAAATAGGTAAAAAAAATATTACCATTTATTCCACAAAGGTCCATGTCCAGCTCTGAGCTCGAAGTCAATGAGCCATGTAGCAGCATGGCACAGCTCATGTATGAGAGTGTCCCTTAACCTCTGAGGTCCGTCCAGCACCTTCGTCGATAATTTTATAGTGGAGGTCCTTATACTTACACCGTGTGCGTTCTTTATCATACGGTTTGTCGTTGTACTGGAAAATTGGTAACATGTAATTATTAATTATTCATTTAATCGTGGGAGAGGCATGCTTTAGCACGAATTGGTGGCTCGACCGGAGTAATAAATACTACGGCCTCACAAAAAACTGGCGTGATTGTTTCACGCCGGTTGTGTTTCGCCGTGTGAGTGAGGTTACCGGAGGCCCAATCATTACGCTCCCTTATCCCTAAATTACCAAAAGGTCAGGAACTCACTCGTAATTCTTCCGTTGTTACGGGTGTCCATGGGCGACGCTGATTGCTTACCATCAGATAATCCGCTTGCACGTTTGCCGTCCTATCACATATACACATTATACATATCATAATAATAATATAGTCTTCTCAGAATACATGACCATGACCCTTTTTTGTGGAGGGAAAATGATTTGAATTTATCTTTGAACCGAACTACGGTTTGTCCTAATTCTTTTCTTCACGGCAAGACTACCATAAAAATGTTTTGTACTAGTAAAGTGTCATAGTTGAAAGCAATTTTTCAGCCAAATCCACTTTGGAATACCTACCTACATTAGAGTAGGACGGACTAACAGACTGTCACTTTTAATTTGTGTGTGATTTAAGGGCCTACGCGCTCTTTAAGCCTTAAAAACGTTACATTCTAAAACCTATTCCTCATTAACGGTTGGGTGTAAAGATTTAAAAAAAAAATGTTTACTGTAGATTCATGTAGGTATTACAATCTGAGTATATTCAACTTTCTTATGACAAATAGTTAAGCTGTAGTAAAATATTTACCAACACACTATTTTGTTCAAATAAATGCCTGTTCCTTATAAAAGGCGTGGTTCATTTAATTTTTTTTTAATAAATCAATCGGTGATCAATTTTGCTACAAAGTGGGTAGCACTTATGTAAATCAGTCAATATTTTACAAAAAGCATGTTATATTATGGGGATTTCCATATACAAAAAGCGGGCGAACGCAGCCCGCGCCAGCCCTGCGTTAGCAAGCTCGACGTTATTGATACGCCTTATATAAATTATCAGAATTTGTAACTTTATGAAGGAATGATAATGATAATAAGGCACTTACCCAGCAGTTGTTCTAAACCTTGGATCCCATAATATAGGTAGGTCAGCCTCCATAGCGTTGTCAAAAACATTTTTATTGAATTCTATAAAGAGTCTTCGAGCTAACTGTTCCTTCAAATTCTTGTAGTTGTCATGGTATTGTAAAGCTTCTACGTGACAACGATAGGACGGTATATTATCTGTGAAGAGAAGAAACTTTATGTTAGAAAAAAACTGGTTAAGGACTTTTTTGAAACCTATTTCAATTGATTGTTTGTTAAAAAAAAGTTGCCAAACATTAGTATTTTTCTCCTGTGTGATAAGTACATACAAATTCACATACACATCACACCTAGACCAGGAACAACAATCTGTAAATCACACAGAGTTGTTCCGTGGGAATAAAACGCGCGATACGTTGCACAGCAGCCTTGTAGTCCATCCGTGCTTCCATTTAAGATACAGTAAACTTGTAATGTAGGTATTAGATAGAACACACATAAATGAATACCATAATATTACCTGCCAAAGATCCAATAAAGCTAAGTCTTGTATCATCTTTAACGATAGGTGTAACACTAACATCCTTAACTTTCTTCGTTAACACATCAACATCGTTGTTCATAACCTCCACCATCTCCGTTACACTCATAGCCTTATTCACTTTAGTTTTTTTCGTTGTACTAGCTACATTCCTAGGTTTAATCTTCCCGACTTCCGGTGTACTAGGCACCTTTTCCGTGTACAACTTTTTCTTGGACTTTTTTTCTGATTCCGATGTCAAGTCAACTCTGCGTTTAGCTTCAGAATCTGTCAGATACAACATTTTATTCTGTTTCAAATCTTTTCTTATATTTTCCTTGTCACAGTCATCTTCATCGAATTGTAATTTTTTTGATATTGTGTCATACTTTTCACAATTAGCCTTAATTGCTTTGAACAACTTTGGTATTGATTTCCATTGGTCTCCGTATAAATCGTTAAGTATTTTCTTCTGTGATAAATGTATTTTCTTCAATGAACATTGTTCATGTGATTCGTTGGCTACGTCTCTGGGTGATGATGGTGTTGGCTCGTGCCTGGGTGTGGCACAAATGATGTTCTGTGCTGGTGACCATCCGCCGATGCTTGGCCGTGATGCTTTTTTCGTTGGTGATGTTTCTTCTTTTGAACAGTTGAATGAGATCTGGAATTTTGTAATAAGTTGTTTTAATTATATAGATACTAAAGCCTCTGTTAGGAGCAAGAGCAGTCAGGAGCAAAGAACTAAAGGTGGATACTTGATGATGTTGTCACTCAAAAAAAAATGTACTGACCTAAAGGAGTAGGTACAGAATTATTACTCTTGGTCTGCAGCTGTAGGGCAAAAGCCTTCTACTAATAAAGATGTCTTACTAACTAAACTTACTAAGCACTAAACAGACTTAAGTATTCCCTATAAACTTTGAATGGATTCCTGAAGACTGTTAACTACATATTTTATTTTTCAGTAAACACATTTTAATATTTGATGAGGCAATCTGGGTCTAAGGAAGCAATATTACTAAGATGAGGACATGATCTCTATGGTCTTAATTTCTTCAAAATTTAAGGAAGGTTTTATTTCAATACAAGTGCAATGGCATTAAACACTAGCTATTAATGAGGTTCTAATTGCTGCTCTGCTTATATTGGTAATAGCGCAATGTTTCATAGCATTTCATAAAACAAAATATTCAATTTGAGCCAGTAGTTACAGATATTAGTACATTTAGGGCTGTTTTTCAATAGTTTGAGGAATTAAATTGTTAACTTTTATCTAACTATTGAAAAATCAGCCCTTAAACAATGAAATAAAACTCTTTATAATAGTGTAGATTGGTCTGACAGTTTAATTAGGAAGTAAAAATGTGTGATTTAGGGAAGCTAATGCAGTGCTAGTTAATATTGTGTTCTGTGTTTCATAAATCTCTTATTGTAGAATAAGATCATGGATACATTTCATATCATGGAGTGGCACGCTTTTGTAGTTTTATGTTCAGCAGTGAAGGTAAATAAGTATAAGTACATAATGACACATGAAGAAAAACCAATTTATCATAGACTTGCTTTTAATAATCTTTCTATATATTCTTTAGTATTTTTATCATTAGTAACTATTATATTTTAAATATTAACAACTAGAATTAATTAGCTTGATGTGTATGTAGTCCTTAATACAGGAAGAAGTTAAGATTTTGTTAAAATAATGAAAGAACATACTCACATTTCCATTTTTACTGGGTTCCTGGTTATTGAAACTGATTTTTGGCAAGTCATCATTGAATGAAAATTCACAAGAGTCATTGATTGTTATTGGAGAATATGTTGTTTGACTAGATCCCGCCTGGAAAAAAGTAATTGATAATTTAGTTACTTGTAAATTTTAATATTCTTACATTAATTCCGCCAGCGGCTTAACCTGCCCTTATTTAGATGAAAATAAGCCCTTGTGGTAGTCAAGACTAAAATTTATCTCTGTGCCAATTTTCATCAAAATCAATTCAGTAGTTTTTACATAAAAGAGTGACAGACATCTATCCACAGTGAAATTATGTTAATATGTTCAAACTTTTGAATTCATCATAACACACTCAGCGCCGGTGTATCCTTAATGATACACCTTAGCTTTTCCAAAAATTGCCTTGGCACCGAGCATATTGGTAGGCTTTAGACATAAGACATAGTTAAAATCTTAGATTATTATATGATTAGGTCAGTGGGTAGTTTTAGGGATTACCTACAATTAAAACAAGCCTAAAATACTTCAAGACTTTGACCTTATTTAATACTTAATGAGATTAGTTGAATTAGGCTACAACATAATAAACCTATAACATTAATATATACAATATCAAAGTTTTAAAGTATTTCAACACTTATTAGGATCATTCGAGACCTTTGTAACACTATTTTTTGTATTTTAAAACAATTATAAATTCGTGTATCGATGTACTTACAGTGTTAAGAGAATCACTTCGTAATCTATCAAAAGATTCGTCAAGTACTATAACATCTACTTTCTTGGCTTCTTTACTTATGTCTTGAGTCGGTTTCGGTCTAGATTTCTTCAATGAAAGCTTCAGGTATCCTGAAATTACACGTGTAAAGTTGAATTCATATGTGCATCACAAAATTAATTGATCGTACGTTTTTATGACTAATTTTGCTGATACTACTTACGGTTACTTTGCTTATTTTGTGTAGTTATAGTATCCATTTTTATCAAAAGTAACAAATACCAACGAAATTAATAAAATTGAAAATATCCATGAGAAAGACGACAGAGTGTTTAAAAAAAATATCAGCCGTTGAGTAATGACAATTGCAGAGCGATGTTACCAGACGACAAGAAACATTTAATCATTTCATTCTCTATCTATTTTTTAAACAATTTTTTCAATCAGTTGATTTGGTAGTTTTAAAATATCATGAAATAATGTATTTAACAATTCAATAATGTATTTAACAATTTGTTCATGAGATTAAATTACAAAACATGTAAAAACAATTATTTTTACTAGTGCCATCTCTCGGTAAATAGTACTACACAAGCATACTTGTTCAATTGTATGTTCCGACGTAATATATAACTTTGCCGCTAGAGGGCTATGACAAAATAATTCTGGATAGGAATTATAGATGACGCTGTCTTTTGTTAAATATTTAAACAAGTTTTTAATTATATCGCTTTTTCATGAAAATACAATTATTTTGATGATATTAGTACTGACATCATAATTAAAACTTACAGCAGCATGACAGTAATTAGCTGTATTTACGTTTAGAGTTTAGATCAAAAAATAAATACTTTTAACTTGCAAAGATAAGCAACGCAACATTGCTTTGTGCAATTACTTTATTTAAACAAGAAAAAACCGCTTGCTCAGCTTTTATTTGTTGTCATGAGTTCTCAAAACCTTCACAGTATAATTTGCTATGCCTTTCATTTACATTTACGCAAACTACTCGTTGCACAGACAACTGGGTCAAGTGACTTTGTACTTTACTTTTATTATGAAACAGTTTTCGGCAGATTCTCATCTTAACATTATCATAATGTGTTTCATGTTCGAATTACGAAATAACATTTTAGATTTATTATCGCGCCATTAAAAACAAGCTTTATGGTACATTTCCGTTCTAATTTTAAATATTTTTGTTACATTTTTTTAACAAATATGTACTTACCTATGTATTTTTTTAAATACGGAATTCTATTTGTAGTTTAAAATGAAGGCTCTTTGGTTTTTATCACGGTTTTTATACTAATGTGTATGTAGATTTAATTTACAAAGCATTATATGGTTGTGTTTGCCCATGTGAATAGGATATCATAATTATCAACCACTCGTCCTGTTGCGAATTAGATAAACATCTCAGTTAGCCATCATCCCCAGACTAAAGAAGCAATTAGAAGATGATGAAAGTCAAAGAAAGATACATGAAGAAATTTTCATTTCATAGTGTTAATTGTGTAGAATAAAGCATAAATAAATGATTATATTACTGATGTTTTTGAAAATAGGCTTTTCTCTGAAAGGGAATATCACCGTTTACATTTTTCAGCCCTGGTTGAGATGAGTTAGAGTGTCAGACTCTTATTGACTAAAACGAACCTCGTTCTAACTTTTTACATCTTCGAGCCGTATGTCTTTGTTGACCTGCGATCCCGGCCTGTACCCGGGCATTTACCCCATCAGCCCATTTGTTGTGGAAGACAGCAGCTGCAGCAAGCCTGCCTTGATAACTCCTTTATTAATAAATCCTTCTAATATTATATAATGTGAATTTTTGTGAGAATGTTTGGGTGTGTATGTATGTTTGTTACTGTTGTACCTATACAAAACGGCTGTACCGATTTGGTTTAAATTTGGTACTTACCTATGTAGATAGGTAGATAGGCTGCTTTTTATCAACATACCAAACGGGCGATGCCGCGGATGGAAGCTAGTGCATCATAAAACAATTTTGACAAATCTGTAGAAATCACCAATCTTGAGCAAACGTTGTGGTGATTAATTTGATTTTGACTGCACGGTTGGCGCAGTGGCTGGGCAACTGACTGTCTGCAACGTGTCGCGGGTTCGACGGAACATCACTTTGTGTGTGTTTGTAAACGCACCCACGACACAGGAGAAAATCCTAGTGTGGGGCAACGTTTAAAAAAATAATTCTATACTTCACTGTGTGCGAGCATGTGAGGAGACCTTTGGATTGGGTAGTTTATTAGATAAATAAAGGCCATATCTGTACATAGATACCAACTTTCTTATCCCTTACTTAGTACCCAGTAATCAGACGCATAAATATCTAGCTACAAATAATTGCTACAAATCATTGTGACTTGGTTGTGACTTCGTATTACATTGTAACGTCGTGGTGGCCCGGAACACTTGTACTAATCTTTTTAAATTCTACGTAGGTATCTATTTAATGCAAAACATGATATAATAATATCGAATTACAAATTACCTACGCTACATTTTTACAAATAACTTAGTCCTTAGATAAATACTTAAATATAATAAGGTAGGTATCTGTTTAATAAAAAAAACTCGGTAAATTACCTATGCTTCTGGCACGTACTGAAAAAAAAATGTTCTTATTATCAGACTCGAGCTTTTAATTCTGTAATGTTTCCCACCTTTTATTAATATACCGTACTAGATGAAAACCCGACTTCGCTCGAGTGAAATGTGACTTAATAATCTAACAATCCTACTAATATTATAAATGCGAAAGTTACGATGTTTGGATGCTTGTTACTCAATCACGCCAAAACGGCTAGACGGATCTGGATGTTTGGCAAAGGCATGGGACACACTCTGGAATTAGACATAGACTACTTTTTATCATCATACCACGCAGGCGGAAGTTAGTAGGTATGTAATGCATGTCTTTGAGCTAGGAATATTTATTGACTATCTAAGATGGCGGCTGCGGTGTAGTTGTCAGTATCAATGGAATTTAACGACATTTTACTTATTGCGAATTAGAAAAAAAGTAAGAAAGAAAAAGTGTTTATTCGCGTCTAGGACGCACACAAGACACAGAACAAACAATAAAACATGGTAATACAATATAAAAAAGAGTAGGTAATACTTACCTATAAGAAAAAATATGCGTCACAAGCACACGCGATGGCCCTCGCTCAGCATTTGCAGCGACACTATGCGAGACAGTGTCGCAGCGCTGATTTTCAGCGATTTCGGATATACCTAATAATATGTCCTCCACTCGAAATCAATATTTTTTCATGTTTTATTATTAAAATAGAATATACATAAGTGGTAAGGAATAATGATGATGCCTTTTCTTGTTAGGGGAAAATCATCAAATGGCTACTCCCGCCTTGGGGAGGCGAAAGGAAGTATTAGATTCTTACTGACTAAAAACCCACTCGTTCCTTCTGCTCTAGGCATAGGTTGCGGTGCTTCATCGCGCTTTTCACGCAACCGTGGCTAAACTACAGCCTTATGGGGCCCCGTCCCCGTCTGTGGTGGTACATTGCCTCCTTGAGGCGCGCGTGGAACGCTACATACACGACACGGCTATACGCCGTACGCTTGGGTTTGGCTCTAGTCAGGTGGCGGGCGCGGCGAGCTACCCTTAGTACCTACTTACTCGCCGTCCGCCGCGTACGGTGCCCGGAGATCGTCTCTCGGTAATAATGATACTTACCTGGTTGAAAATGATGTCAGTATGCTACGATATTCCCTTACAGACAAATGGCTGAGGCGTGAAACAACGCTTGGGTTGGGTTTGTAAAATTAAAACAACTGCCTAACATGTAGAACATTATTTTTATGCTATTCGGTTGTTTTTTTACGATGTAAACTACACATTGGTAACTTTTGTCCTTATAAAACGGCTGTACAAACATAAATACACGCGAATAAGTCTTGTTAAACCCAGTGACGTATAAACCACGGCCACGCGCCGTCTACAGAATTAAAATTGTAATTTGAAATAATGTATATTCTACCCTTGCCCTTAAAGTCACGCATGCGCTGTGTTCCCGCGCAAAATGGCGTCTATTTTCTATTAATAACAGCTAAACTTGGCAAAATACCATAGAAAGACAGTATTTTATCAACAAATCATTAATGTAAAATGTGTTTTAATTAGACACTGTTTTAATTGCGATCTTATATTTTTATTAAAAGGGAATTTGTACCTGACAGTGACCTTTGACATAAAAATGGCCGCTTTAACCAGAGACGCGACCGAGTAACGATCGTTGGCGCGCATAGGTCAATATAGTCTGGAAACAGCTGTTTTCGAAAATCGAATGCTACAGACCTAAGAAATTGTGAAATTTTGCCAGTTTGACGTCAGTTTTCGTTGAGTGCGGGTGGATATTTGCACCGAAAATGTAATGGTGAGTGGAATTACCGGCGGAATTACGAAATAGTGATTAATGTAGTGTAGAAGTGTAATTTATTCTGTGGAATGCGTAAAAATGCGTGCTTTCTTAGAGAATACAGTGTTAGTGGATGTTGTGTGTAGATTTTGTGTTTTTTTTCTAGAAATCACTTGAATCGGAATGTTTTGATCTGATTCCGTTCGTGGTATAAATATAAAAATCGATAGTTTCTACGAATGTTCGGCCACGTGGTGTCTCGCACTGTTCTACTGATGTTGCATGAAATAGCACCTTATGATTTATAGTGGACAACTCAATTTTGTTCGACAATATTGATTTTGACGTTTTAGTAGCGACAGACGGTTGAAAAGTTTTTTTCTAGACAAATTATAGATTTTTCACTTTGGTTAATTGCACTGGTTGTTTTTATAGCTCAAATAGCAAATTTTTTTAAAAATAGAATCTAAATTCTAGATTTTTAAATAAGTATACTTAAATTAGCGGCCCATTGCGGCTTAGCACCCACATATTTTATTATTTCAATGTTTATAGACTATGTGCTTAGTACTTAGGTATATTAGGTACTTAGGGTAAACGTTGCTTTCTAATTGTGAAACAATTTTCGAAATCGGTACAGTAGCTTTTGAGGTTATTTAGAAAGGAATAAATACTAGAAAGAAATCTTCTTTTTAATGTTAGTGTTAGAATATTATTGAAGTGCCTCGGTAACTTTGCTAAATTACCGAGCTTATATTGCCATTACTTTCTATACCTACATTAATATAACGTAGATTCTTTTTAACAAGAAAATTGTTTTTTTTTCAAGGTGTTTCAGATTGATTTTTTATTCT